AGCTGATAATTAACAGGATTTTGGATTTTTTTGACTTTTTAATTTTTTTTTGTATTCTTCTAATGTTAATAAATAATGTATAAAAAAATGGATAGTGAAAATGTTGATTGTTTTTTTTTTACAGCACTCCAAAAATGACCTAAAATTTATGTCTCTAGACCAGAATACCTCCTTAAAGTATTTTTATATCATATTCAGGTTAACTGAAGTATGTATTATTTGTTTACATTATTTTTATAAATGATTACTTTATTATTTAATAAATAATTGAATATAAATAATAATAAATCAGGTAATAAGTAATACTAAATTTAATAAATAAATAATTTATTATATTTTTGGATTATTTTTGCTATATTAATTTTCTATATATCCACATAAGTAGCAAAATTGGTTTTTGCTTATCGTTGGCAATTCTCATATATTACAAAATTATTATTTTTAATAAATACATAAATAAATAATCAAAATAAATAACTAATTTATTTTTATTATTTTTGGTATATTAATATATTAATTGTTATATATAAGGATATATAGAAAATTAATTAATTTTTTATGAAAATCTGGTTGCATGGAGACATTGCCAAAGGATGGGAAACAGCAAGGATTGTGCCAATCTTTAAGGATGGGGATAGGGACAAGTCAGAAAATTATAGAGGGGTATGGTTATTGTTACTAGGTGTTAACAAAGATGATGACGGAAAGATTAAGTGTTTGGATAGAAAAGCATAAAAAGCTGAAGGAAAGTCAGGCAGGATTTAGAAAGGGAAGAGGAACTAGAGATCAGATATTCACATTAAATGCAATAATAAATAATAAATTGAAATCAAAGGGTGGGAAACTGATTCATTGATTTTAAAGCAGCATTCGATAGGGTGAACACAGAGAAAGGATGATAGTAAAATTAAAGGAAAAAGGAATAGAAGGTAGAATGCTAGAAACAATAAAAGAGATATATAAGGAAACAATAGCGGAAATACAGACTCAGGGGAAAATCACAGAAAGCTGTAGAACAGAACAGGGCGTGCGGCAAGGCTGTTAAGCGCAGCCTTGTTCGATCTGTACAGTAAATGATCTGGAGAAAAGATGGATTGTGAAGAATAAGGGAGGAGCGGTAATAAGGAAAGAAAAAATATTTGCAATAAAATATGCAGATGACGTTGCGGCACTGGCGGGGACAGCGAAAGGGTTCAAAAGCATATTAAAGGATTTAGAAAAATCGGCAAAGGAAAATAAAATGAGAGAAAACGCAAAGAAAACAAAGATCATGATATTCAGAAACGGAGGAAAGGTTAAGGGAAGGAATGGGAGATTAATAGGACAAAAGTGGAGGTAGGAAAGGAATTTAAATACTTAGGATATTGGTTTACAAGTAAAAATTCGGTTTGGATGCATGGGAGAAAAGCAACAGGGATAGCGCAAAAAGCGGCGAATATGGTATGGGGGATATGGAAAAGGGCAGGGAGTAATGTTATGGAGGATAGGCTATACCTTCTGGATTCAATAGTGAAAGCAGGAATAATTTATAGAGTAGAGATATGGGCGTTGGAAGAAATAAAGATATTCGAAAGGATACAGAGCAGATACTGCAAAATAACATTAGGAGTGAGAAGGACAACGCCAAATTACATATGGAGAAGAGATTTGGGAATCCCAACGATGGAATTTCGGATTAGAGAAAGAGCGTTAAGATATATCAAGGAGATGTTAAAAATGGAGGAATCAAGGTGGCCAAAAATATACATGTGGAGGAAATAAGAGCGATAACGAACGGTAAGCCCTCAAAATGGGGGGAGAATTTAATTAAAGTGTTGACGAAAATGGGTATTGAGGAAATGATAGAGATGATAAGAGAAAGAAGAGAAGATGTGAGGATAGAGGAAAAGATAAAAGAGGAATTAGAAGAATTGAAAAAGAGAAGCCTAAGGGAAGAAAAGGAAAAAATAAGAAAGTCAACATATAATAGTATGTACAAACATTTAATAGAAAACGATGAAATGCTATGGAAGTATTGGTCAGAAGAAGGAGTGAGGGGAGGAATCAAGGAAGTTTGGGTAAGGTTAAGATGTGGCAACATAGGAAAGGCAGGAAAGAATGTAGAAATGTAGGTTATGCAAAGAGCGAGTAGAAACGTTGGAGCATTTGATAACTTGCGAAATAGGAAGAGAATTGGTTTCCGAGAAGAAAAGGAAGGAGGTAGAGGAATGGATGGATGGAATAGAGGAAGGGAATTAATAAACATGTTAAGCGGTAAGATTCAGTTTGGGATATGTGAATTTTTCAGAGAAGTTGAGGAGCTGTGTAAAAGGAGAAGGACAGAGGAAAATGGGAGGGAAGGCGAAGACGAATACGAGTGAGATTTAATTAATTATAGTTATAGATAGTTTGATTTTAAGATTGTTGATAAATATTTGTAGAGGAGGGGTGAGTTGAGCATAACCCAAAAATGTGAGAAAAAATATAAGTAAAGTAATGATAAGACATTGTAAAAAACTTTGTAAGTTGTGCAATAAAAACCTGATTATATACATATATAATTAATTTTCTATGAGTGTGAATTTTGCAGGCAAATTTTAAAAAATTAATACTGACCCATGTATAATAAATTTAAAAAATTTTTCATTAAAAAAAAATGCGTATCTAGAATATACACACCCGTGTTTTTTTAATTTAGAAATGTTTTTTTTAATTTAAGAAATGAATTATTAGTTTAGAAAATATTGTAGTTTGTGTCCCTTATTTTCTCGCCTTTATAAAAAAACATTTAAAATAAAAATATTAACCGAATATATGAATTGATATTTACCTGAATTGGTAGCAAAATTCATCAAAGGTCTGATGTATGATAACGTCACGGTGATAATCATACCAATATTCGAAACTTTAAAGAATATTTTCGACACATAATGATAAGTGTTGTAAATTATTTTCTCATCATTATTTTCAAAACGATACTCCCTAATATTTTTTTTCGTTATCTCAATGATTTCTCTTAATATACTGCTAAAACGTATCACGAGTATCATCATGAATGTGATCGTGTAAACTATTGTTTCTACCATATTCATTACTATCAAATGGAGATTGCCAATGATTTCGAAGAGGTCGGCATAAGACAACACAAGAAATGATACATAGTACGCACAATAAATTGTAAATTTGATGTATGATGAGTTATTTTTTGACGACCATACGCCACCGATTGAAAAGATTCGTTCGCAGAGAATAAATAAGTCTTCCGTATGCTTCATATCTTTCTATAATTTAAGGAAAGTATAATAATATTATTAATCATTATAA